CAAAAACATGGTCTGGTTATTAGGTGGGTTTTCTCCGGGTACTCCGGTTTCATCCCAGAACAAAAACATGGTCTGGTTATTAGGTGGGTTTTCTCCTGGCACTCCGGGTTCATCCCAGAACAAAAACATGCCTGAAAGGCTGATGCAGTTGAGGTGGCGGGGGGGGGAGGTGGGTTTTCTCCGGGAACTCCGGTTTCATCCCAGAACAAAAACGTCCATCCATCCATCCATCCATCCATTTTCTTTACCCGTTTATTCCATTTTGGGTCACGGGGGTCGCTGGTGCCCATGTCCAGCAATCACTGTGCGAGGGGCGGGGTGCACCCTGGACGGGTCGCAAGTCCATCACAGGGCCACATAGAGACAAACGAGACAAATAACCATTCACTCTCTCACTCACACCTAGGGACAATTTAGAGTTACCAATCAGCCTAACATGCATGTTTTTGGACTGTGGGAGGAAACCGGAGTACCCGGAGAAAACCCACGCATGCACGGAGAGAACATGCAAACTCCACCCAGAAAGGCCCCTGGACCGGGGTTTGAACCAAGGACCTGCTCGCTGAGAGGCAGCAGCTCTACCAGTTACGCCACCGTGCTGCCCAGAACAAAAACCATGGTCATGTTATTAGGTGGGTTTTCTCCGGGAACTCCGGTTTCATCCCAGAACAAAAACATGGTCTGGTTATTAGGTGGGTTTTCTCCTGGCACTCTGGTTTCATCCCAGAACAAAAACATGCCTGATAGGCTGATGCAGTTGATGCAGTTGATGCAGTTGAGGTGGAGATTGGGGGAGGTGGGTTTTCTCCGGGTACTCCGGTTTCCTCCCACAGACCAAAAACATGAATGTTAGGCTGATTGGTAACTCTAAATTGTCCCTAGGTGTGTGTGAGAGAGTGAATGGTTTTTTGTCTCGTTTGTCTCTATGTGGCCCTGTGATGGACTTGCGACCCGTCCAGGGTGTACCCCGCCCCTCGCACAGTGATTGCTGGACATGGGCACCAGCGACCCCCGTGACCCAAAATGGAATAAGCGGGTAAAGAAAATGGATGGATGGATGGGTTTTCTCCAGGTACTCCGGTTTTATCCAAGAACAAAAACATGCCAGTTAGGCTGATGCAATTTAGGTGTGGCAGGGAGACCGGCGAGGCAATATTTCCGGTGGGCGGCCAGGAGACATCACAGGGCAGGGGCTCCGGGGGGAGGCCAGGAGATCCTTCACTCGGCAGGAGCTGTGTCCTCCTGGACCAGCAGTTCTGCAGCTGGTGTAGAAATCAGGGGGGACTGCAGCTGGCATGGGGACCAGGGGAGTTGTAACTGGTATAGAGACCGGGTGGGCTGCAGCTGGTGTGGAGCACTGTAAGATGCAATAAGTGGACTTTACTTAAAAAAATTTATGCTAACTCGTTGCCTCAAAATTTTCAATTTTTTTAACTTAAAAATGTTGTTTGTTCAACTACTATGTATATGTTAAGTTTGCACAACTCAAATAACTTGATCATTTTGAATACATGTATGCATGTATGTAACAGTATGTATGGCGGGAGTGGTTGCGCAGAGGTTAGAAGATTTGTCTTTCATCCGAAAGACTGCAGTCTGAGGAGCTGTACTAAGCTCAGTCTTATACAGTAAATAACACCTTCTCATAGTGGATCAACCATTTTGATGATGTTATCACAGCATTGGTAGTTCAGTGGTAGAATTCTCGCCTGCGATGTGGTCGAGAGGCCCGGGTCCGATTCCCGGCCAATGCAGTAACATTTTCAGGAACAAAGTTTCAGCCTGCCTTAGCAATGACCACCACCTTCCAACATCAGTAGAGAGGAGAGGGATTCACTCACCACTCTCAGCAAGGACAAAAACATCATCATCCTCCCAGCAGACAAGGTGCACAGTGATTTGAACCAGAAAGACTATATACCATACCATTTTATTTATAGAGCACTTAAAACAGCTACAAGGCCAACCAAAGTGCTGTACAGACAGAACAAGAGACAACACACGAAGCAATATACACAATGAAGTAAATCAGAAATATAGACATAAAATCGATGCACATAATAAATATGACGACTAACCAGTGTGGAGCATACAGGTTCAAAACACAGATCCTCTGGTGTTGAAAGATACTGGATAGTAGTGTGTTTTTAAACGGGATTTGAAAACCGAGATGGAGGGGGCCAGTCTGTCAAGCAGAGGTAACTCGTTCCAAAGTCTTGGTCCTGCTACAGAGAAGGCCCTGTCACCTCTGCGCTTAAGACAAGTTCCTGGAACTGTGAGGAGCAATTGGTCCGCTGACCTCAGGGAACGTGGTGGGATATACGGTTGTAGCAGATCAGAGAGATGGGGGGGCGACACTGTTCAGCGATTTGTAGACATGCAGGAGTATTTTGAACTGGATTCTAAGGTGAACCGGTAACCAGTGCAGTGAGGCCAAAACTGGTGTAATGTGCTCTCTTTTGCCTGTACTGGTAAAAAATCGGGCTGCTGCATTCTGGACCAGTTGTAGTCGTGCAATGGAGGTCTGACTGATACCAAACAGGAGCGAATTGCAGTAATCAAGCCTAGATGTAATGAATGCATGTATTACTGTCTCCAGGTTATTTTTGGACAATATGGGCTTCAGTTTAGACAGCTGCCTCAGCTGGAAGAAACATGATTTAACAATCATGTTTACATGATTGTTAAGTTTCAGGGAAGTGTCCATTATCACACCCAGATTAGTGACTCTTTGTTTTTCTGACAGGGTTAGAGTGGAAAGGTCAATGCAGTGGTTTGTGATCGTGTCGTTGGGAGGGAACAACATGACTTCAGACTTCTTTTCATTGAAACTTAAGATCATGAGCAAGTTATGACACTCCTTAGTGACTTAACCACTTATGAGCTGCTGAAAAGAGAGCCGAAATGGTTACAAGAAGAAGTTGATAGATTGCCTGAAAATTTTGGATCAGGACAAGGCTATTGACCCTATTCTGTACCACTGACTGTACCCAGGGGAGGCCACACCTAGTCTGTATGATTTACCTAAAATCCACAAACAAGGTGTACCTTTAAGACCAATTGTTAGCATGATCTGTCACTTACAATGTTTCCAAATACTGTATATGGTGTCTGTACTCATCCCTTTAGTTGGCAGCTCAGAACACCACATGCAGAACACCATGGACTTTGTGGATAAGGTGAGGGATGTCATCATGGAGACTGATGAAACAATGGTCTCTTTTTTATGTCACATCACTCTACACACGTTCCTGTTGATGATGCAGTAGAGGTGGTCTGTTTAAGATTAAAATCAGACACCAACCTGAGCAGCAGGACC